GGTAAGGTGACTTGGGACCGGGTGCGTTTGTCCGTGGGGACAAAGATCTGTTTTGACATCCCTGTGGTCGCCCTTCGAGCACCTTTGAGCTGCAGGTGAGATTCCGTCAGTTGCCGAGAGCAAGTAGGCAACGTTGGTGACGGCGAAGACAGGACAGGGACGAAGAACGGATGGGAAGCCTCGGTGGTTCGTTGTGTGATCGCGGACGAACTTGCGCCAGTCGCGTTCAACGCTTGCGCGAGTCACGTGACGCGCGATCATCACCGCAGGGGTCGACGAAATTAACACCAAAGACCATCCCTCCCTTTCAAAAATGACAATTGGGTGGGTATGGTGTATAACAGCGAGAGCAACAACTTTGCCTGCGTAATGGTCAAGTCTCTTTGTGAGCCCCGTTGAAACTCTATTGGACGTGTCAATTTCAAACGGGGTCACAACTACGTCACATTGTCACAAGCTCAAAGAAGGAGCGTGACAAATAGAAGCCGGGGTAAGATGCTTGCCTCCGTTCGTCGCTCGCTTCAGCAACATTGCCTGCAATGTAAAGCCTCGAGGCCATACACAAGTTTTCGACTTCCCCCTTTGTCATGTAGCCGCGCGTTCTCGTCGTCTAAGACTTCATCCTCGGTACCCCCGACGTCAGCTGCTCACATCCATCTGCAAACGTCAGACTAATTCCAGCAAACATACAGGTCGCAAGTACCCAGCCAACCCCCAAGGTCCATACTTATTGTGAACAAGCTACGGACACAGCCTGTCATCCTTGCAATAGACGCATTCCTAGAGTATGGCGTTCAACAGCTCATCCACATCACATGCTCACCCTAATTTTGAGGCATGTGCAATCAACGTACCCAGGCGTGAGGGTATTCCACGAGGACAGACCAGATATACCTCATGGTGCAGAGGTTTGGAGTCCTGGTACGTGCGAGTGTATATCATGTCTTAGTCCCGGTTTCATGTTTAACTAGGTGCACATGCTGAGAAGATTGACCTGGTTGTTACACTTGGTGGAGATGGTACAATCCTTCACGCATCTTCGCTATTCAGTACAGGTGCAGTACCACCCGTCCTCAGTTTCTCGATGGGCACGTTGGGCTTTCTCCTGCCGTTCCGTAAGTCTTATTTCCGATCGTATGTGTTACCCGGACCAAATATCTTAAATCTAGATATGGACGACTTTGCGAAGGCCCTCGAGAGTGTCTTCCGAGGAAAAGCAACCATTCTCAACAGAATGCGCTTGGCATGCACCTTCTATAACACGGACTTGAAGAAAATTGGGAATGACGGAGATGGTGCGTGCCTCTCGCTCTCCCTCGTCCAAGTGACTTCATACGTTTCTTAGATTGGCAAGTTATGAACGAGATTGCTCTTCACCGTGGAGCGAGCCCTCACCTGAACACAATCGATATCTTCGTCGATGGACAACACCTGACTGAGGCAGTTGTGCGTGCTCCCATCTTGATCCTGCTCGAAATGCTAACCATTCTGCAGTCAGACGGGCTCATCGTATCAACGCCAACTGGTTCTACGGCATACTCCCTATCTGCTGGTGGTCCTATCGTCCATCCCTCGCTCAGCGCGCTCGTCCTAACACCGATTTGTCCTCGGAGTCTATCCTTCCGACCGCTCGTATTCCCTTCGTCTTCTCTCATAACTCTTCGCGTGAGTCTCAGTTGCGTTTATTGAAGCCCTCTTGACTGAATCCATAATGAAGGTTGGGGATCGCAGCCGGTCGCCAGCAGGGGTGTCTATGGACGGCAGAACTTCACACATCCTCCACCCCGGTGAATCTGTCAATGTGCAGGCGTCACCGTTCCCGGTACCTTGTATAAACCGTTCTTCAATCGTGGAATCGGAAGCCGAACAATCAAACGTCGAGGGTGCAGGTCCAGGCAAAGAGGACGACTGGGTTCGGGATATCAATAACCTTCTGCAGTATAATGCCACCTTCCGAAGTAAAGCGCTATTGCGGCATAGCCGAACCTAACACCAAATGAGCTTGGATAATAAAATGTATCATAACAGGAGGGATGTTTGTCGACCCCAGCGCGGAAACGACAATCATTCGCTATATTCGCATCTACCTTCAATGCACTTAACTTAGACAGTCCAAGCCTGCTACCCAAGGGTCAATCACCACTGCGACTTTCACAAAACCCAAGTGCACAAAGAGACGAGTACTTCTCGGTTGCATTACGACTACACTCGAGCACACTTCCAAGCTAACAAATGCAGAAAGCTACATAGATCTATCACGCTTCTTCTGTCCCTAACATGTCAAATAAACTCTTCGGAGCTCGCTTCGTTGCTTGTATGGGAACGTACTCCTTCGGCTTCTTTGCTTTCCTGGCCTTCTTGGATAACCGATCCCCAGAAAAAGCATCTTCCAACCCCTCTGTCACTGCTTGTAGCTGAGGTTGTAAAGCCTGGGTAATGTCCACAGGAACAGACTGGGCCGTAAGTAGGGTGTACACAAGTTTCCCAGAGAACCAACGGAAAGGAAAAGGAATCTGGTCGGCAAGGAGGAGCGTTTGCGCTAGTTGCTCGATAACGTCCAACGCCATGGTGGCCTGTGCAACAAGCTGTACATGGCGATCAACTACAGCTGGTGGCTCATAGGTCGCAATTGCATCCCTCGTTTCCTGTACTTCAGGGACTGGCAGAAGTGTAGCAAGGAAACATAAACCTTCCCTCTTCGTCCAACGTTCTCCTTCTCTTTCTCTGCTAGGCGACTCTTGAGCGCGTTTGTGAAGCGTTCGTACGACCCAGCGGAGGGTAATGACAGGTATAACATGTTCGAATGGAAGTTCTCTGACTGCAGGAATGTCTGACTCTAGGATCTGTAGCAGGACCGTTATACGATCATCGATCGACTGGCAGAGCAGCGGTTTTTCCAGCAGGGCATCGGGGTCAACTCCGCTGGCCAAAGGAAGTTTCGTCAGGAGTGAGATCAACGACGGGACAACAACTGTCTCCTCTGCCACTCGTGTTCCCCGACGGATGTACTCCGTAACGTGTATAGGCAAAGTACGAGCTGTAGATGATTGGATGGCAGAGGATGATGAAGTTACCGACGCTGTGGCTGACATGACGTCCTCGTGAGCTTCCCTAGGTCGGCGAAGGCTCTGGAGAGCACCCTTCAACGGTGCGAGGGGATCTTCTCCTTCGTCGCTATCGGACTCGACGACGTCGATAACTTCATCGTCAGCGTCATCATCTTCCTGCTCCTCATCGCTACTTTCGACTTCCTTTTCATCACGGGTTGTGCTGGTCTCTGTACCATCTTCTTCGACTGCAACAACCTCGGGCAGCCCGAGGCTGGCATCAAGGATGGAGTATATCCACAACCGGATAGGTCTTGCGATAGTCGTCGCCACGGTTTCAAAATCGGGATTTTCTAAGAACAGCCGCGGCCAGTATGTTCCGGTGTGCAGACTATTCAATAGCCTCGGGGAAAGATATCCGGCACGGTAGGCCTTCAGATATTCTTCCCTGATGCCTAACGCATCCACTTGCTCTTCCGTCCCGTCAGGCAAGTCACCAACTCGACGCGAAAACATCGAGAGGATGTGACATTCGTCCAAACCGTGAAGCGCACAGATAGGTGATACCCACTGCCCCTCTGTACCATCATCCTCCCCTTCGTGTTTGTGGATAGCATACTGCAAAGTTGCTTCCACTATCTTGTCTATGATGCTCGTGATTTCTCCTGACGCGAAGGTCGTTGGCGATCGGAGTAAGAGAGCATTCACGGTCCGGTCGATCAGATCCATGACGCTACCCACTGGGTGCTTTGTCTTCTTCCTATTGGAGCTAGGTGCGAGGATGGACTTTATGGTAAGTGCGACATGATTAATGCGTTGGGGCAGGGTAAGCTGCCTGTCGAAGAACAAGCCTTGGACCTGTCTTCGATGGGTTTCTGCTTGCAGGAAGTCATTCCCAACCAATGCACCAACCAGAGGAAGTAAGGTAACGGGCAGTTGGAGATGAGAAGCCAATGTAGCAGGCTGATAGGACGAAAATGTCAGTCGTAATGATAAAGCACCGGGAGGTGGGATTATCCCTCGGCCAAAGGAAGAGTCGGGCTTGCGCCTGCCTTTTGACTTGCGAACGGTTTGGAAATCATCGTCCCCGTCATCATCAGCAGCTGCCCCGTCAGGAGAAACAGCATGCCATGTCATCTCGTCGAGGGGGATGTAGCCGAGATACCTCTCTGAGTTGAGAATAAGGAAATCCGAATCGTTCCCGATGACATATCCATTGACTTTTCCTGCAAGTTCAACCGCATATGGGTCGCCTTCTTCGTCCGCGAAATGGACTTCGACATGTTCGCTTGACTCCGATATAGATCGCAATGTTTCTACACAGGTAGAATACACCAAAGGAGGTAAGATGCGTGTTTCGTTCAGGAACCTGGGTGAAGAGCGCGAAGCCTCAGAGGTACGGAAGAACAGCAGCGCTGGCTGGATATGAGATTGGCCTTGACGGGATACGAGAGTTGAAAACTTGAGTTGGGGATAAGGACCTACGGGAGATGGTCACGTTAACGATAAGATGAAAAGTTGGAATGCACGGACCATCAAACACAAAGTAGATCTTGAATCCGACGTCGACCCATGCCTTTACTACAGCTGTCACGATCTCGGCGAATGCACTGTTTTCCCCTCCATAAACCCAGGGCAGATAAGGAGACTGTTGAAGGTTATAGATGAACCTTTGGCGAGAACTAGGATCTAAATTCTCGGAGGAAAACGAGATGCACTTACGACCAAGCGTCTACGACAATCGGTACTCGAGAACTTGAGTCTTCTCGAGGTAGTTCATGCGTTGTCGATAGAACGCGTTTATTCTCCCGCAGATAGGTTGTAAGGCCGTGAACACCCATGGTATTTCATTGTGACTCGATTCAGGAACGGCTGTTTGGCCGAGGAGGCTTTGCTTGGCCGCTTCACTGGCTCTTCCTGGTACTGCGTGTCTCGGGCCGCTAAATGGAGCATGGCAACATGGCCGAGTGGTCTAAGGCGCTGGAATTAGGTCCCGTACATACATCCAGTCCGAAAGGGCGTGGGTTCGAACCCCACTGTTGTCAACGTGAGGATCTTTTTCCGGTCGAGAACTGACCAGTATTACGACCTTGGTATTACCCTTTTTTTTTCCACCGCGCCGTAGCTGAGGGACAACAGATTCCCGATCCTGTGATACACAAGGGATTATTGGTCTAAAAGTAGCGGTTTGAATTAGCAGATAATACATATATGTGTCCAAGAGAGTACAATTCCAGGAATACCAGCAACTGATACCCAAAGTCCATCTCCAGCAACTCTGATAACTCGCCTCTTTTAAGCCGGGCCGGCATTGTCGTCTTCATCTGTCGAGTCACGCTCCTTCCAGCGTTCGTAAGCCCTGCTGCATGTGCGACTGGCGAGAATATATGGTTCGTTAGTCCATGCCTTCTCCCAAACACGTTGCGCAAATTCGACCTGCTCGCCACTCGATATACTCTCTTGGAATATACTCAATACCCTGTGAGCTGGCGCGAGGAGCCGAGCGAAACGTTCTCGGAGAGAGGGCCAATCTGGGGGTAGCGGAACGAGGAGGGATTGAGACCTAGTTAGGTGGCGTCAGTTCAGTAATGGAATCCTTCCAAAGAGATGCGACAAACGTTGAGTCTGGTGCTGGTCTGAGCGGCACAATAGGACCCCACCACTTGGACTGGTCTCCGGCGTCGAGAGTACCCTTAGCAACATGATCTTGGTAGTCCTGCCATACCTCTCTCCGCTGCTCCTTCTGCGCAATCACCCTTTGCTGGTGTTCCAGATCCATCAACATTGCGTCCGTCTTCTCGTGAAGACCCCAACGGCTTTTACTTGTCCAAAGGTACCAACCCTCGTCCCAGTACTTTGTCTCTTCGTTCGACGTAGACTGAGGTTTGTCCGAGTCATCTGGAGGTTTACCTCCAAGGATTCGAGGGATATTGGAGGGTTGTCCTTCGGCAGGTAATCGGTATTTAGCCCTTCCATCAGGTCCAACAACTTTATGACTCTTGAACGTCATGACGTTCTTGATTTCGTGCGGAAACACTTTCCGAATGCAAATGGAACGGCAGAATGGTTCCTTCCCGTAGATTCTGCCATTAACGTTCTGGGAGCAGTAGGTAAAACACCATTCGTCGGTCTTTTTCGAGAATCTGCCTGGATTAAAGTAAATACGCATCAAAGAAGTGCAAAGTAGAGCCGAGTACCCTGTGGAGGCGTCAAAATCTTAATCGTAGGCCAGTCCGAAAAGGGAGGTTTCCTCGGAACCTGCTGCTGCTGTTGAGTCGGTTGAGCAGCTCCAGTAGACATACGTATTCAAGTGAGTGTTGAGAGGGCGCTGTGGCAGAAGCAAAGTTGCTGAAGCGGCCAAGGACTCCAGAATGGCTGAGATCAGAATGTGCGTAATTGACTTTCAGATGACTCTGGCCACACCGCCTCGGCCCGGGTGAATTGAAACGGAGATTTACAATATCCGGCCAATCCCGTCATCGCCAAACTTTCGTCTCTCAACACGAAAATTTCTTCTCTTCACGCCGACTGAAGAATCGCTGTCGCAGCTCACGTCCAGGAAGCTTCTAGCTTCCACATTTCGCTGTGGGGAAAGTCCCCGGAGACACAGAGCATGTCTTATTCCGCTAACGGAAAGCGACCGGCTTTAAGCACGTCGGTATGGAATATAGACGGCAGGAATGACTTACTCGACCCATTTATTCGAGTTCCATCCTAGCCACTCTGTTACCCAATACCAACTTCAATTCATTGGTGAAGGCTCACGTATGCGAAGATACGAGCGTTCGTGTTGCTCAGTGAATTGTTGAAGGATGGGTACAGTGTTGCTCATAGACACAGTTATGCGATTGTCGACCTTTTCTTGGTCTTCAACTCAATGGGGCTCACTCTCATTCGGCGTCACCCAAAATTTTTCTACACCTACGAAACTTCGTGTTTCAGCCCAAGGTCATTGGACGATTCAATCTCATGTACAACGGTGAGTACTTCTTCCTCCTCTTTCGTTCAATGATGGTTCGAATTTTTATTTGAATTTCTTCATGGAGAATCGCCCCGAGCTCGGGTTATCGAAAGTGCTCCAGACTTGACACTTCTGATTTTACTTCTCAGTTTCCTCCTGTCCTCTATCTCACAAACTCTGCAGGTTTGAAGCTATAACTGGTATCATTGGTATACTTTGATAATAAATCCACCGTGTACAACCTCTGCAGTATAGCACTATCCAAGAAAGTAGCATTAAGCAATAGATATAAGATGCTGCAATCACAACCTGGATCGGACATTCTCCCCTGGGTCACGTCCGGCAAGTTCTTCCTTTGCCCTATCGCGGAGCTCTCGGCGTAGAATCTTCCCGGCGGCACTGTGACATCGTTTAACATTTTGACCGCGAGATAATTAAAAAAAAGTGATACGAACCTCTTGGGAATGATGTCGATGACAACAACACCTGGAAAGCTTGTTAAAGGTAAATGTAGCATCAAGCAAAATTCTACACACCACCACGAAGGAACTTATGTCTCGCAACCTTGGTTGTAATCCACTTCTGGACTTGCAATTCTAGTGCCTTTTTCTGCTCAGGCGTCTTGACCTTCTTGAGATCTGCAGCGACAATATAGGCACTAGTGGAAAGGTCAGAAAAGAAACCACCGGGAAGATGTTCACGCACCGAGGAAGTTCTGTAGCTTCGCGTACACTCTCAACACCAATGACAGCGCAATCAGCGACGTCGGGGTGCGTCAAGAGTACACTCTCCAGCTCAGCAGGTGGAACTAATGGACATCTGTCGGCAAGAGGCTCCACGCGCGCAACAAGCTAACATACCTTGGAAACCCTAGACACCGGAACACCTGTCAGTTAAGCCGATTCAAATCCAAGACCACATCCATACCTTATACTTGATGAGCTCCTTTCTTCTGTCAACGATGTAGTAGAAACCTTCAACGTCTCTCGTCGCAATATCACCAGTTCTGAACCAGCCGTCCTTGGTGATCGCATCAACCGTTGCGGTTGGGTTATTGAGGTAACCTTTCATGACCGTGGGTCCTCGAAGCCAAAGTTCACCAGGTTGTCCGGGGAGTGCATCTTCGAGTCCTTCACCGTCACCATCGATGACCAAGCGCGCTTCCAGGTTAGGGAGTAAAACGCCGCAACTGCCCATCTTACGGGACCAGTCTTCGAAGGGTATCAAGTGCGAAGTGGGGGAGGTCTCAGTCAGACCATATCCTGCAATAGGGTAAGCGAATCGAGATGTCTATCCAAAGAGTACACATACCTTGGAGGATGTGAACGTGTCCTTTGCCCTTTCTCTTAGGCGTAAGGCGGTCTACGACCTGAATGGAGTTCCGTTCGTGCGTAGGAAAATGAGATAGGCTCAAGCACACACCTGCCTTGTCAAAGCAGCGCCGAGAGGAGCTGCTCCAGAGAAAAGGATTGAGAGAGACGAGAGATCATATTGATCCACAGCTGGAATTCGATCGTTAGCTAGAGAAACGAGCATCAATAAAAAGAAAGCGCACCTGGATGCCGTGCAAGTACCACCAGGACGGGTGGGACAATAAGTGCTATATCAATGTTATACTTCTCAATGGACGCGCAAAATTGAACTGGGTCGAATCGGGGCTGGATGGTCACGGACATGTTGGCGGCCACAGGGTATTGTAGCAACATCACGGCCCCTATCAGGAAGGATAAGATCATCTTGATTTTGTGAGGTGAAGACATACCGTAAATGTGATAGAAGGGCAGGATGCCCAGCAGTTTTTTCGCAGGAGGGAACAATGGCTTCGCCATGTCCATAAGGGCAGTGATATTCTGATGAGTGGTCTGGAAATAGAGGCCTCAATACCAGTATGGTATTTGTCGTCAAAAACAACACTGACCTCGACACCTTTTGGCTTGCCAGTCGTCCCTGAGATGTCAACTTTAAACGGGAAAACAACCACGGTGCGGTGCAACGACGTACCTGAACTGTAGCAAAGGTACAGAGTTTCGTGTGCCCGTTCACCATCGAATCTCACCTCAGACTCTAACTTGTTTTTACCCAGCAGATCTTCCGAATAGAGCAGGTTCGGAGCTTGTCTGGGGGCGTTGGGACCTCCAGCCCATGCCAAACTTTCGCCGAGTACGATAAGTCGAGAATTGGCTTCGTGTTCACTGAGGCCAAGGCCCTTGAACATTTCCTTTGCAACAGGAAGTCCAGCTTCAGTGGTGAGCACAAGTCTTGCTTTGCTATCGTTGTATTGGTATGTCAATTCCCTTGCGTTGTACCCGCTGTTTGCAAGAGTGCAACGCAAGCCCGCAGCCACTAAAGCACCAGGAAGTTAGCATCGCAAGGCAACTCCCGGGAACATTACTACTGACCGCAACCAAACAAAACCACGGGCCAGTGAAGGCTGTTTTGAGAGTAGATGAGGACAGTGTCGCCTACATTTGCCCTGGTTGTTGGGTGGTTGCGAATCCCGAAGGCGAAGGACAATGTAAGGTTCTTGAGCTGTGCACGTGTAAGGGTTGTTCCGGACGGAGCGTCGATGAATGCGGGGGAAGAACCAGGGTATCCACCGACCGAAGTGGGATCACTGGGAGAAGCCGAGAAGAGGTGTGTATACACGGATGTGCTCACAACAGGGACTGAGGGGGTGGAGGAAGGGTAGACGACTGGGGCCATGGTCTGGAGAAAACCTTGCAGGAGATGACCAGCGAAAAACAGCGAGCAGTTCCAGGGACAGGCTTGTGGAGGGTGCCATCAGCGAACAGGACAGAGATTTATAGCAAAACACCAGGGCAACCCCGGTCCGCGAAACGCCCGGCTAGGTCGCTTCGGCTGCGAAATCTTGCAGACTCCACCCATTCCTTATCTCTCTCGACTGGGTGCCATGGCCTCTCTACTGGCTATGCTGATACACACTCTCCGCGACACTCACTGGGCAGCGCTGCACATCGAAATAACTGGGATAGCACATCACCTCTCAAAAGGGGATGAGGTTGATCAAAAGAAAACATCGCCGCAATCAAGCGCGGGGTTCCTCCTTTCGCGCTTGCAGCCACG